CGGGCTGCGGCCCTCTCGCCCCCCTCGCTTTGGGCCGGTCGGCGCCCGCGCCGTCCGCAGAGAACTGACGACGCTCATCAGCACGCTGCGCGTTTTGTCGTCAGACCTGGTGCTCCGGGGGAATGTTTGGATGTGCTTCATCGCTCTATAAATAATTAAAATTATCCATGCTATTAAGTAATTTAAAGGGATGTTTTCTAGTCTCTCTGGCTTATAGGCAATTTGTGGTTTTTACTCTAGGAAAAAAACTTGTGGCTGGGCTATCGTTCTCCTGAATTGTTCCAACTCTGTTGCACTAAGCAGAGCCATGGGAACGTTTTTTTTCTAAACCAGCAGGTTATTAGAGGGCATATTTATAAATAACTAGTCTTAGCTATTTTAAAATATTTTCTACATGCTCTGCCATGATGGTGCAGCGTAAGCTGTAGCCGGACCGAGTCTAATCCCGCTAGCAGGATTTAACTTCATGGTCAGCTTCTGCCCCTTGGATGGCGGGGAGCTGCGTGCCACTCGCCGGTCTGCTTTGCAGGAGTAACGAGAGCCCGAGGAACCATAGCGCTTGCTGTTGTGGGGAACTATTCATTTTCTAAATTGATTTTTCGGTTGCAGTATTGCAAAGCACATCATTGTCTTTTATTACATAGGAGAAACTCACAGTTGGGTTCGATTTATAGTTAAATTGTGTCAGATCTTCCTGGGAATGCCAGGGTCAGCAGAGCAACCACGGGTAAGACCCTGGCACTGCTGAACAGGGTGGCAGAACTTCAGGGAAACCAGGTGTCACTGTAGAGTCTAAGAAAATACTTCCAAATTGGCATTCTTGGTAACTAAGGGGAGGTGCTAGGTAGTCTGCTCTTCAGGCAGAATCTATGTAAAATGACCAGGAAAGCATAACCCCACTCCTCCCGGAGAACCGAGCATTTCAGACAAGGAAATTTATAATACCTTTATAATTTATTAAACTTTCAGATTGCCATATGCAATAAATTATAGTTGGTATAATAATAGCATTGTCATAAAATATTACCATGAAATACCTTTCTAATATCTATTGTTATCTATACAAATAAGAACTGGAATTATGAAATTTAGTGTTAATGGGAAGTGAACAAAATATTAAGGAGCTTCACAGTAAATTCAAGGGGAAAATGTCATTATTATTGGTTTTGTGCAAATGATTTATAATGTACACATACTGCTTGAGAAAGAAAAGATACGGTTATGTAGTGTGCCTCTAGAGCAAATGCATTCCCTGAAGGCTGAACCTACTACACCCATACGGTGCATTTAAATGCATTTTAACAAATGCAAAATTATAAATGATCAATAGCTGATCAATCTCCAGAATCCTCCATCCTAGCAAACAACAGCGAGGCTTAGAAAAGTTTTAAACTCTAAGTAAACCAGTTCAAAAAGACAGAGCAAACAGATGAAGTCAGTAAACAAGTTCTTATAGAGTTCTGGTGCGGCGGCCGGAGGCGCGGGGAGCGGAGCCGGCTGT